TTTGGAGGCCGTGCTGGCACCAACCACCTGCAGGGATGTGTCCTGGTCCTTGTGCCCATCCTCGGTCCCTTGGGTGGTGGTGGGTGCCCCACTGCATCGGTACGATGTCAGTTCAATGGCTGCATCCCCAGTGCTGGGCACAGAGCATCCCAGTGTGCCTGCGGTAGTGCAGGGAGTGGGCTGCAAGGGAAGGGGAAAAAGGGAGGAGGGGAGGGGAAACGGGAGGAGGGGGGGGGGGAGGGTGAAAAAAGGGGAAAAAGGGGAAAGGAAAGGGGAGAGGGAAAAGGGGAAGAAAGGGAGAAAAAGGACGGAAATGAGATGGGAAAGAGAGGAAAAGGTGGGAAAGAGAAGGAAAGAGGAAAGAAAAGGTAGAAAAAAACCCCACCTGTCACCGACTTTTATTCCTTTTTTGGAAAAGCCCAGCCTGTGCTGTGTGCTCCTGGAGCACCGTGACCCACAGGCACTGCCCTCAGCCCACCATGCAGATGGCACATGGCAGGGTTTAACCTTACCCACCTGCACCCGCTGCCACCACCTCTTCCTTTCCAGGCTCCCGTGGAGCTGCAGGAGCTCAGGCTGCCTGAAGAACTCATAGAGCCGTGTGGTCCACTGCCCCAGAGAGCGGATGTGCAGCCAGATGGTGTCTGTGGGACGGGGACATCATGATGGCACAAGGGCTGGAGCACAGCATGCCCCGAGCACCGGCACCCCTGCACCAGAGCACAGGGGGGATGGCGGTGGGATGCTCATGGGATGCTCATGGGATGCAGGACATCCTGGCGATGCCAAAGAGAAGCCCCAGTTTGGGCTGCCCAGCACACCTTGCTGCTCAGGAGCACTGCTGATGCTGAATGGGTGCCATTCATAGGCAGCAATGGCTGGGATGTTCAGGTAGACGTAGTCCCCGGGCTCGTAGTGGAAGGAATGTGGCCGCTGGATCACCAGGTGGGTGACCTGGGTTGGGAGGAGCAGAAAGCATCCAGGCGGTGATTTACCAAAGAAATGGTGTTTTCACCTCTCGCTGCAATCCTTCACCAAAACATTGTGGATTTCCTGAATGCCGCCAAGTGACCCCAAAACACATCTCTGCACAGTTGAATCTGAAGACTTTACCCAACCTTACTGAAGCCAAAGAAAGGGGCAGTGCTGTGATGCAGGGGAGGAGATGCAGAGCCCCGAGTCTCTCATGCGGGGCTGGAGGAGCCCGACCCCAAACCACAGGGCCATTTGTGCACACCACAGTTTGGGCCACGCACCTGGGAAGGCAGCAGGTGGACCTCCACGATGCGCAGCCCCATGGCACGAGACACAGCTGTGCCCACTGCCTTCTCCAGCACAAAGAGGCCCCCGGGAACCAAAAACCACTTCCAGAAGTTGGGAGCATGGAAGAAGAGCAGAGCCCAGACGATGATGTAGGAGAGGTGGCTCCAGTAGAAAAGCTGTAGGCAGGGGATGCGAGTCAGCAGGGGCGGGCTGTGCAGGGCTCAGTGCCCTCTGTGCCACGGGATGGGGCACCTTTGGGGTGTTTGTGTGCATTGATGTACCTCGAAGTGCCCACCACGGCGGACGCAGGGGCTGGAGAAGGTGAGCATGGCAAACAGCAGCACCTGCAGGGCCAGCCCGGTCTGTGGGGCTGTGCCACCGAGCCCCCCACCACTGGGATGTGCCATCAGCAGGAACTCGGAGAGGGCACCGTGCCCAGCCTGTGCCAACCTGCCTGCAAGCAGAACAGCGGTGAGGGGTCTGAGTAGCTGTGTATGAAAGCACAGTCTGGGTTCGCTCAGATATATTGAAAACGAAACATGTGTCCTTGTGCAAAAATGCCACGCGAGGACCACAGGAACCGCGGGCACCGGAGCTCCTGGCGCGGAGGAAGCAGTGAGGAAAGGTCTGCAGGCCCCGCTGCGGCGCTGCCCGCCTGGGAGAGCCGCTAGAGGGGGATAGCAGGCAGCTCACGAAGCGAGCATCTCCAACCGCAACCCCAACCCCAACCCCAGCCCCTCCCCGGCCGCGCATTTTCCTCGCTTACCGAAGTTGGCAACGTGCGCCCCGGTGTGCAGCACGGCCAGCGCCAGCACGGCGCTCCCCAGCAGCTGATGGAGGCTCACGCAGCGCTCCAGGGGCAGCGCTCTGCCCGCGGCGGTGGCACGCAGCCGGGTCAGGCAGCGCCGCAGCATCGGCACCTGCCGGGGGGGGGGGGCGGTTCGGGACCTTAAGGACGCCCAGCGGCGTCACCCCGCCGCCTCGATCCCCCTCCCCGAGACCCAGAGTTCCGCACTCACGGCGATGAAGGCGCAGTTGAAGTTGAGGCACTGCCCGCAGCCCCTGGCCACCGCCACCCACCCGCTGCGGCTGACGTGCTGCAGGGCAGCCAGGATGAAGAGCAGCAGGTTGAGGCTGACATAGCCTCCGAGGAAGGCGAGCTGGCCGCGGCGGTTGTGCCAGTACCACGAAGTCAGGCAGCGCGGCCGCCGGCTCTGCCGTGTCGGTGCTGGGGGCTTCAGCCAGCTGGCAGCACTGCCAAGGCACCGCATGGCATCCTGCATCCAACCCTGCACCTATCTGGGCACTGACCCTGCGTGCATCCCTGTGTGCAAATCCTTTGCCCACCGTCCTGTTACCCAAGCCATTCACTGCATCCCTGCCCACAGCAGGGGGTTGGAACTAGGTGATCATCAAGGTCCCTTCCAACACAACCCATCCTATGACCCCACTACCCATCCCAGAGCCCACCCCTGCACCCCAGCTCACCCACCCTCGCACCACATCCCAGTCCCCACCTCAAGCCCAAGTGCTGCAGCCACCCCAGCGTGCTCCTGAGCAAAGGGACAGGATTGAGATGCCCTCAGCAGCACCGCAGGGCACCCCGCTCTGCTGAGAGCCTCTACAGAGCAAAAGCCCCACAGCACAGTAGGAGGGAAGAGCGCCCCACAGAACCACATCCCTACCTGATGGTCAGGCTCTCCATCAGCCCCGGGAAGGCCTCCAGCTGCTGCTGCAGCTCCTGAAAGGTGATGGAGCCGTTGCCATCCTTGTCGGCCGCCTCGAGCAGCACCCCGGCCATGTCGTGCAGGCGCTGCGGTGGCAGTGAGATCTCGCTCTCACGCAGGCAGGCCTGCAGCACCAGGAGCAGCTCGGCTGCGTCGATGGAGCCGCTGCCTGCAAGAAGAGCAGCACCGCCTCACAGCCTGGCCTCAAACCCCTCCACTGCAGTGCCATCCCCTCCTGCCTGAAGGGACAGCTGCGCCCACCCACAGCGATGCCATCCTTCACCAGCACGTTGGTTTGGGGGAGTTGGAGAGAATTCTGATCTAAAATTCATTCCCATTCCGATGCTGCCACGGGGCTTCTCCCCTCCACCAAGGGCAGCAGGGAACACAATGCACGGCTGTCTCTCCGCAAGCAAAGCTAACAAGGCCGGTGTATTTGCTGCCTTACAGATGGGTGCTACTCCCATCCCAACAGGACAAAAGAGCACTATTCAGGGCTGGGTGCACTGAGCCACCCTCTCACCATCGACGTCGTAGACTTGGAAGAGGAAGCGCAGCTTGTCGGCAGCAGTGCCGTGCAGCAGCAATCTCAGGGCGCTGTGCAGCTCCCCCAGGCTGATGGTACCACTGCCATCCACGTCAAACAGCGCGAAGAAACGCTCAGCAAAGAAGGACTGCAGAGGATGGATGTGCTGGGGCAGCTCTGGGATGCTCTGCACAGCCCAGAGCCCGTACTGCAAAGTGAGCTCCCGCTGCCAGCAGTGCTCAGCCTCACTGATGAGTGGAGATCAATGCAGGGTCCAGCACCCACCTCCTTCACCTGAAGGGCCGCCTTGAACTCCTCCAGGCCGATCTCCTCACCCTGCCCTGCGATGCTCTGGAAGCGCTCCATCACCCAGCTCAGCCACGCTGCATCCTCAGCTGTGCTCATGGTGCCGGGAGCCTGCAGGGTGAGCAGTGGGATGGGGACGGCTGGGAGCACTGGGGCCCTCGGGAGCTCCTGCCATCCTGTTGAGCCTCAGAGCACAGGGGATGGCACCCAGCGCTGCCAACATTGCAGTCTGCCCACCTGTGCTGAGCCGCTTTGCTATCGACACACCTCACCTGCAGAGCTACAAACCACAGAGGCCCAAACCCGCACTGCTCACCTTCAATCAGACGCTGGATGCAGCTCTCAATCCCAGCACTGCTCAGCAGTGCTGCTCAGCCCCAGCGCTCTCCCCGAGGAGCTGCAGCCCCTCCGTACCCTTTTAAAGGCTGATGTTCATTCAGTCCTGCTGAAGCTTTTCACGTCAAATCAAAACAAAAATGGATTTCAACAGAACCATGAAGGAGCATCTGGCTGCGACGTTCCCACAATGACCTCCTTAGTTTAGAACTGATCTGACGCTGCCTTTACGGATCCCCACCGAAACACTCTGCAAAATAAAAGGGCACATTTGGTTCTCTGAAGGCAGTGATCCAACCGTCGGCCCAGGCACCGCAGACCATTGGTTCCATATTCAGAATGCATTCACTGCTCCTGACTTCCCTGCTCCGCAGCCTCGGCGACCCACGGCAGGAACATGGACTGCTAACTTCCACTGGGCAGAAGGAAAAAAAGGTCTAAGGAAATATTTTAACCAAATACACCAAACTTTAAACAGAATCGTGGCATGAATCCATTCTAATGACCAAAAAGGATGGAGGAGGATGTCCTGGATACTGAACTCAAAACCACACAGCTGAACAGCTTGAGTTTAAAAGAGCCTTTATGCCAAAAGAAAAGTGAGCTCCCATCCCCAGCCCTGAGCCCGTGCAGAGGGCTGAGCTTCAAGGAGGAGCAATAGCTGACAGAAGCTTTCTAGGAATTTTACTGAAACCAGCAGAAAGAAAACAGACATAATATACAGCGCCACGAATCTGGCAACCAGCAGCAGGAAATAAAAATAGCACCAGTACAAACTTGCTTTCCAGTGATCAGAAATGAAAATATGTCCGCCTAAAAGTAAAGAAGAAGAGAAAGAAGAATTGCTGGAGCCAATTTATTCTCATCACATTTGCACAGAACGTTGTGTGTAACTGCTGATACTCCACATGTGACTGCCTTGTCATCCTGCACGCCCATAGGCACCCCTGCAGTCTGGAGAAGCCCACTGAGCAACCTTCATCATCATTTCGCAGCAGGTTGGGAGTTTCGAAGCTTCAGTGTGATTTTTAGCATGGCTTCTTCAAGAACACTCCTTAAAGACGTCACCAAATCCATTCTTCAACTGATCAAGGATGCCATTCTCCCTTTTTGCACCCCCAGTCTGCAATGCTGATGCCAGCTCTGCCATGGCTGCTGCCAGCTGTGCAGACTCAAACCCACACAAAGCAACAGAAACATCTGGCTGAGGCAGAGGGGATGGCATTGCTGGCACAGCAGGTTTCCTTCTCACTGTGCCCCTCACCAGCTCTTTTTGCTCCCCAGCCTTCCTCCTGCATGCTTGCAGCCAAGGAGCAGTTGTGCCATTGCTGGGGGTGGCAGTTCCTGCTGCGTGCTGAGCTCCTCGTGCAGCGTGGTGCAGAACAGCCAGCAGGTGCCCCAGGGTTTCATCCTTTGCTGCTTCTCCTGGCCTGGACAGGGCTGTCCCTGATGCTGTAAGAGAATTAAATGGCTTTTACAGTGTGTAAATGGTGCATGTTTGCTTTGCTCACCCTCCAGCCTACATCACCAATAGCAAACTTCAGTACAAATGCACTCGTGCTAGAATTATTGTTCTCTTCCTATTTACACAAGATATGTCAATGCTGCCATACGAGGTGGTACGATTTCCTGAACGGGTGAATAATTAAAGAAGCACAAAGAGAAAAACATCAAAGGCAACACCTATCATACAGTAACTGCTCAACCTAAAACCCTTCACGTTATCTCCTAATTCTGTGTTTTCTGAGATACGAACGATGGCAGATCACAGAATCACAGAATGGCCAGGGTTGGAAGGGACCCCAAGGATCACGAATCTCCAACCCCCTGCCACGTGCAGGGCCACCAACCTCCCCATTTCATAGCAGCCCAGGCTGCCCAGAGCCCCATCCAACCTGGCCCCAAACACCTGCAGGGATGGACAGGGCATCCACAGCCTCTCTGGGCAGCTGTTCCAGCACCAACAGTTTGGTGCTGAACGGTTTGGGTTGAAAGGAAGTTTTACAACCACCCAGTTCCAACCCCTGCTACAGGTGGGGACCCCTCCCACCAGACCAGGTTGTTCACAGCCCCATCCCTCCTGGCCTTGAATGTGTACAGGGAGAAGGCATCCACAACCTCTGGCCAACCTGTGCCTGTGCCTCACTGCCCTCACAGTAAAGATTTTCCTCCCGATATCTGCTCTAAACCGACTCTCTTCCAGTTTGAAGCCATTTTCCCCCACCCTGTCGCCACCTGCCCTTATGAGAACCCCCTCCCCAGCAGGAGGAACCACAAATCAGTAACGGAGCTGCAAACAAAACCGACAGCAAACGTTACCCCAGACTAACAGCGCTGGGCTGGGGAACGCCCCCTACAAAACGGCCCTTGCTCAGCACGGCCGGCTGCCCCTCACCGCCGGGCGGCAGCAGCAGCAGCAGCGCTACCCGCATCACCCGCAGCCCCAACGCCATGGCGGCGCTGCGGGGCGGTGCTGCCCGTTGTGCGCATGCGCACAGCAGCTGCAGGGCATGGCGTCGGGGGGCCGCGGCTGGGAGCAGCGCCGCGTGCTTCGCCCTGGGGGCTCAGAGTTGTTGCGGAGCCTCGTCGGATATTGGATCAGATCGCTTCCAGGCTGAACAGACCCAGGGCATTCAGCCTTCCCACGTCAGGAGGTGCTCTGTATATCTTTGCGTCCCTCCTCTGGGCTCTTTTCCTGGAGCACAACTGCTCCTTGGCTGCAAGCATGCAGGAGGAAGGCTGGGGAGCAAAAAGAGCTGGTGAGGGGCACGGTGAGAAGGAAACCTGCTGTGCCAGCAATGCCATCCTCTCTGCCTCAGCCAGATGTTTCTGTTGCTATGTGTGGGTTTGAGTCTGCACAGTTGGCAGCAGCCATGGCAGAGCTGGCATCAGCATTGCAGACTGGGGGTGCAAAAAAGCCTGGGCTGTTTTGAAGTGGGGAGCCCAGAATTGGGCAGTGGATTGTATACGTGGCTTCAGCAGGGCAGAGCAGAGGGGAGGATCGCCTCCCCCCGTGGTACTGAGCATCCTCTGATTAACAGCTCCTTTAGGCAATGAGGGATGGCTGCAACACCCCTGACAAACCAAGCGTGGCTCAGTGCAGCAATAACCCAGCTCCTGACCCATGGCTGCGTGCTAAGAAAGAGAACAAAGGGATTTGGAGCCAAGAAGGGGAAGAGCAGAGAGCCAGAACGGCTTTTTCCTGCTGCTGCAACAGCATTCCCCTGATGTCATCAAGTGATGGGGACTGAGTGGTTAAACAGACAACACATCTGGAACAGAGTGAGCCCCTTACTGTTTGAACACTCACCAGAAGGCGTTCATGCAGAGCACCGTGGAGGATTTTCCTTTCCACAGGCATAAAGTTGGCACCTTTCTGGGAAGGCCCACATTCAGATGGTGTATCACAAAGCTCTGACCCTTCCTGTGCCCTTTGTAAAGAAGCCACATCCCCTGTTCCACTCGAAATGGCATTTCTCAGCAGGTGGGGCACGACACAGTGGGCAGCAATAGGCAGGACTGTGCAGAAATGCAAGCAACCTATGGGCACCCTTAGATGGGACAGGGGGAAAAGATGGTATCACAGAAATGAGCAGTCACCTGCAGTGGGCACTGAGACTCAATGGTGTGATGGGAGAGATGAGGGGCATCCCAAAGTTTGGTCCAGAGGAATCGGTAGATGTGAGAACAGCCATTCTGCAACAGCTGCAGTGGGATCCTTTGGCAGAGAATGCCAGGCCTGTGTTGCCTGAGGAAAAATGGCCTGTGAGCATTTATATTTAAAGAACAGTGGGAATAAAGTCAGGGAGACATTAGCAGGAACTGACAGGAAAAGAAAAGCACTCTGTGGGTGCTGGAAAAATGCAGTCTGTGCTGAAACCCAGCTGTGCAGACACAGTGAGCCACTGCTCTGCTGCTCCCATTGCGTGGCCAGTGCTGGGCCCAGAAGGAAATCCTCTAGGGGGAGTCAGAAAATTGTTTAAAGGATTTTCTTCTCCCTTTCAGTCTGATGGTATCAAAAGACCAAGAGACCACGAGGCATTCCACGAAGAAAAACAGTAATTAAAGAACTTCATTAAGGGAGGAACGTTCAGAGCACAGCAGAGGCACCAGGCTGGGAGCAAACACGCGCTGCAAGGCAGGTGCTGGTGCAGTGAACTGCAGACCAAAGGGGAATCTGCCTCTCCTTCAAAGTAAGCCATTTTCACCTGCCAAGAGACTGTTGGAGATCCAGGCAAGCCAAGGAGATCCAAGGAGCTTTGGGGCTGGAGGCGCAGCAGGCAGCAGGCCAAGGTCAGCAGCAGCACAGCTGTAGGATTTGCCATGCTGGGCTGCCTGCATCAGCATTTGGGGTTCCTTGGGGCAGCCCCAGATATCTGGGCGCTGTATGTCATGACACAGCAGTACGGCCCAGTGTGACACCACTGATGGTTGGTGGAAGGATTCCAAATAGCTTTAAATGGCAAAGTGAATCCGCACCCCTTAGGAAATGCTGCCACTGAAAATCACAGGGGAAATGCCACCCCTGCTTTCCCCAGAAGTTACCAGCCGTTTCATTACAACCAGGATTCACTATCCACAGTCTGACCGGGTGCTTTTAACCTATTGCAGGCTTGCAGCTGTGAGCTTAGTATCACTCTGTGGCTGTTTAACCTCACCTGAGCAGCCTTGTGAAAATCAATGGCAACACACGTGCGTTAGAACAGGAGTTCTGTGCCAGGAGAGTTCTAATTAGGATCCTGCTACCAGCAAAGCAGCTGGAGGGAAGTTGGCACAGGAAAGACAGGGCTTTTAAAATGCATTCCTCTCAAAATAAAAGTTGTCTTTGTTGAGAGTTGGTGGCACAGGCTTTGGCCTACCTGAACCTTTCCTGTTCAGTTAAATTAAAGCACAGCTAATTATTCCTTTTAGGACAAGTAGCAGAGTTGAATCAGACCCAGCCACAGCCAGGTGGTAGCAGCACAACGAATGCTTACAGCTGTACTGCATGGGGCTGATTGGAAACTGGATGCAGAAGGCCAGCTTTGATGCCTGGTGCTGGCAATGCCACTACGGTACCCTTGAGACAATCTCTAAGTGGCTGCCAAGCACGCTTCTTCCTTGATATCCAGAGCCCTCTATTCTCCCAATCCAGAAAAGAATAAGCAAAGCACCTCAAGACCTCTCTACTGCCACTTTTTCCTGAAGTGCCCTGCACCATCTCCTCAGTTTCTTCTTGATTAAGGAAAGCAGCACGATACACCTTGCAGAGCACATCTCACCTCTGTACTGCCGTGTAAGTAGCAAAAGCAAAGGTTTGTCTGTGCACAGGTTTTGTACTGACACAACTGAGGTTATCTGAAAACAAACCCAGTTCATTCATTAAACTTGCCTGTATTGGTGTCATTACATTTGTACAAAGACAGTTCATAAAAGCACAACTGCTATGCCTAAGTGCATGCACAGCTGTGCACGTTTTCCTAAGCAGTGTGCTAGGTCTGCAGAAGGTTTAGAAGTCTTTGGACCACACAACAGCCCACAGAACAGACACCAGGAACTCTGCTCAAAGAAAATAGTACAAATTCATTCATTTATGTTAGGAGGAAGGGATTAAAAGGTTCCAAAGTGTGCTACGTCCCTGATTTCCCACCCATAGGTCTTTCCTTGCTCTCCTCCCACTCTGAGGTCTGCATCTGAGCCAACCAAAAGCAATGCAACAGACAATTAGCCTTGGTTCCCTGGGTATATTAGAGCTTCTGAAGGGAAATCAGGCAAATAACCACTTTTAATTCAGAAGCCTAGCTCAATTTTAATACTGAAGGAGTATGACTTACTTCCAGTCCCACCAGTTCTCCCAGAACCTCCACCCCATTAAACCTGCCCAGCAAGGTAACGAGTGACAACACACCTCCCCGGTGAAATGCAAGGTACAAAAACACCCCAAACACTTGATCATTGGCATATTCATTGACAGAATGGCCTTAAGAGGACGTCACAGGCTGCTGAGGAGCCCAGGAGCAGATCAGCGCCTCTTTAGGTCACACACCACCCCTTCAGGGGACAAGGGGCCACAAGACACACCTGGAGAAGCCTCAGCATGCAGCAGCACTCACTGCTCCATCACTTTGTTCCTTCCTCCTGCTTGCAGCTGAGTGCTACACCAAGTGCTCCTCAATTCTCAGACCTGTTGCACCTATTCGTGGCAAAGATCAGCACCAGAGGAATGGCAAAGTTGTAGAAAGTGGTGACCTATCACTACCTCTGCAGTTTCTAATAGTGGCATTACAAAGCAGAAAGTTAGTTTCTTGCGCTGGGGAAATGCATACAGAAATCATGGTGCGCTGCTAAAGAGAAATTTCAGAGCAAAAATCCTAGGAATACATCTGTTAAACATGATTTTATATACATGAGACAGACTGAAAATCTGTCTGAACTGAAAAACAGTCCTTGCATCCAAACTTCACAGCACTCAAACACCTCCTGGCCCACGCTGGTACCTGCTAAGGATTTTACCTTATTCTCAATTACTCCAAGTTGTTAAAATCAGGGATAATACAAAATGAAGTCTGTTTGGCGATATATATTTACTAAATTCATGGAAGACCAACAAATCTGGTTTCTAGAAATCCAGAGATGCAGAATTCCAGAGCCAGAAACAGAAGATAAGATCCTGGAAGCAGCAGTGGGTATGCTAACAAAGCGCTGCCACAACACGTGCTTGTTGGGCAACAAGTTAAAAGCCCTTTAACATCAGTGACGTCCCCATACAGTCATCTACACAAAGACAAGAGTACTGTCTTGTTGGTTTTGGACTGTCTGACTATGCATGTTAGGCAACAGCTCCATTTTAGGGCTCAGTTACAGCCACATTAACAGCCAAGTCACATCTACTTACCTTGAAACAAGAAGAAATACGGATAGAACGCAACGTGACACTTAATGCTGACCAAATACACATCTAGTGTTTGCTGTTCTACCTTAAAAGGATAAGACATGCACTCATCCCTATTAGTGAACAAGCTAAGCAGCAGGTACGATTATTACTGCATCGGAAGAAGAAATGCTCTGCAACACAGGGCAGTGCTGGCTCAACCCAAACTGGTTCTTCCCATCTGTATCACCAGCCAAACGTCCAGCTTCTGCTCCGCTATCACAAGGCACTGCCTGCAATCCCAGCAGTGAAATAAAAAGACCAGGGGCCTCAATAGCCAGCAGGTGGTTGGATCTGCCTCCGTCGTTTGACCGCTTGCCCAGCATTTACCTCACAACAGCAGCACGTGTTTTGCTGACCTCGGGTTTGATTTGAGCAAACAACAGATCAGGGAGAGCAAGCAGCAATGCAAGAGGATGGCAGGAGCCCACTCACAGCCCCTCTGGAGCACCACAGTTCCATAGACTGCAGTTATACTCAGATTATTTTACTTTGCCTGTTCAGTAGTGCAGGCCTTTCATCGCTGTTTGAGGTTCTCAATAGGATGCCCTAGTTAACTCAAATCCTTCTGCACCTCCTTCATTGCCTTTTCTCTTCTCTTTGTTGGAGTTCATTTAATCAAACGTGATACTCCATGATTCTAAGATGGGTTTGTGATGGAAGCCCTTTGCAGAAATGTGTGTATTATCCAAGCAGCACCTCGCTTTGCTTAAATTCATTTCCTACTCCTAGCTGTAAGTTGCACCCATGCTTCCCTTGCAGTCAGAGAAGAAGAGAAAGACACAAGTATTGACAGAAGGAAGAGGAAGGCTGGGGATTCTAAGATGAGATCAAGGGGAAAAGGTTTTGTTGGTGTTTGTGATAACTATTAGTTGCTGAGCCACTGCCTTCATTGCAGAGGAACAAAAATCCCCCTCTAGCATTCACCCAACGTAATGAATATCATACTAGAATCCTTTTTCTTTTTTTTTTTTTCCAACCTCACAGAATAAAAAATGATTGATTTCTATCACAATAACAAGTACTTTCCTTGCACTGACTTTCCCTGTACACCAGACCTTACCTTCACTAACCTGTATGCAGAAACGCATTGTCTGAAACTTCGTTTTGTTGGCTTTTTTAAGGCTCATAGACACACTACTGAATGCAAATAGAATACAAACACTCAAGTCATTTTTCTTCTCCTCTGTACACTCATTTATCCCGAACTTCTGAGTGGTTTAGGTTCAGGCACAGTAAAACAAGCCCAGCATACACAGCAGCTCGGTTTGCTTGGTCACTGTGAGTGAGGACACACATTGGAATGCAGTTCCACATACCTGCACATGCTAATTCAACCTTTTTGTATTCCAGAACCTGATTCTGTCCAGGTGAACACCCACCTTTCTTTACAAACACGCATTCTCATCCACACTTGCTGTACTTTCTAGTTAAGACATCCCACAGCTGCCAACAGACACTTTTTGCATCTATTTTCACTCAAATTAACTGTCAGTTTTGAACACCTCCTTGACTCCTAAAGCTGCCTTGGAGGAAACAGACAGCAACCACAGCACTTGCACAAACAGCATTTCAAAATGCAACTCTTGTTTTGCCCATGCTGCTCTATTTTCCAGAGCTCTTAACCAGCAGAAGTTGAAGCGTTAATAAACACAAACATTCAGTTCCTATGGGTTTCCATTCATAAGGCCATCTGAGATTGGAAAGCAAATATTTAAGGAACAATGACAGAAACAGAACGTTTTTAAGACGACTGTGAGAACAGCAGAAATGGATGTAAGAAAACAAACAAGGTTCCATCATTTGTGGCTTTCAAGAAAGGAGCAATTCGTGAAGTACGGAGAAAAGAAAGAAAAATGTGTTTTATTCCCATCCTCACGAGGCTTTTAAATATACACCATATATTGCAAGCTCTGGGAATCTTCAAAAAGAGAAATGCAGCCCATGAGCAGCAATAACGTTGGAAGCCTCTGAGTATTTCCCCAGCTCATCTCCCACCACCCATTCCATGCAAAGATCAGTGTTTGCACTTCGTTCAGAGGACGCAGCAGCTGAGGTGCTTTGCACAGCCGCTACCTGAAGAATCTGACCCCACAACAAATGGCGCTGTAGGAGAAAGCTCAATTATCAAAACTTTATTTCAGCACTGAACACTCAACAGTGTGTCTGACTAAGCAGCCAGTTTGCTGCTAGGTAAGCAAAGAATTTCTGATCCTGTTTGTACAGTGCTGAACTCTAGCACACAAGAGGGTGAACTGTGAATACTGTGAAACTCAATTGATTAAATCACTGACTGTTTTTAGTAATAGCATTTCTGTTAAGAGAAAGTGCTTCCATTTACTCAACTGTTTATCCAGCTTAAGCTGAAGTGGGAAAACGCATCCTGCATGGAGAAAAACAAACATATATGGCCTAACCAGCCTGCTTCTTTTTGGAGAGAAGTCTTTATGTTTAACAGATGAAAAATCCTTTTGGAATATTCAATATTTAATATCTGCTACTTAGTCTGAGGCTTGCTTTTGTCATATTTAAAAGGAAAGGAAAATAACATGTCATTTTCGAAGGCCTAGAATAGTAATACTGCACTCAGTACAGATAGCAGTTAATAATAAGAAATTCTATTCAGATTTTTCTCCATTTCCTCCAGTATTGGTTTTATCAGTCTGAGAATCCTGGTGAGGTTTTGCTTGGCCTGGCGTTGGCAGAGCATGCTCCTCAGCTGCCTCAGCACTGAGTTGTGTGGATGGGAAGGACACATTTCAGCCTGCAGACTCTTCAAAGCATCTGATACAGTTACATTTGTTTATGTTGTCTCTAAAATTCAAGATTCAGCAATTAAACTGGGATCCCTCACATTGTGAATGAGACCCAGGATGAGATAGTTAAGAAAAATGAGTAAGTAATTATTCTTGCTAGCAAGGAACAAGTCCAGAGAAGAACAACTGACGTTACCTTGGTAATGGATGCTATCACGTACACAGGTGCTTCGCTTTTGCTCAGGTTCCCAAAAGTGGAGGTTGAAAAAGGATAGAATTCCTCCTCCTACCTACGCTACCTAAGGGACAAGTGTCAGAGAAGGAATGGTTTTTGAAATAACAGATATCCTAGCTGCTGCAAGGATAAATCCAGAACACCGTGAAAAAGATCAGACACCTTACATCCCACCATGGACTTCTGGACAGCCTCAGCATCTTTTCCAGTTGTGTTCCCAGCCCAAAGCCACGCAGTTTCCTCATGCCAATCAAATAGTTTGGCACTGACGCATTGACCATCCAGACTCAGATCCTCATCGAGAATTACCTCCAACTTATCACTGCTGCCACTTCCACTGCAGAAAGAACACTGCAGGAAAAAAAGAGAAATTACAGGTGTGCATGAGTCAACAGTGGTGAATTTTTCAGCTTGACAGCAGCACTGCATCATGTGGGGAACAAAGACATACATAAGCTAGATCTCATTGGAGTAGAGCACCCAGCTTTGAATGCTGAGCCCTAAGCCTGCTTCACACAGCTTACAGCCAGAAAGCCAGTCAGAGCAAGTGCCTGTTCAGAAAACAACCTGCAGGGAGAGAATGGAGAAACAGAGGTGGCTGCCCTGACAGAGACCACAAAATCTGTCAGTACTTTCAACTAAATATTAACAGCTCCAAAAGGAAATGGAAACGCCTTTTTCCCATTCATCGCCCATTTGAAAAGAAAGGGAAGATTCAGGTCAGACAATATGACGAGCGAGGACAGCAAGGTAACGGAACAAATGGTTGGGGAGCAGAAATTCCATTATCAGGGACCTCCAAGAGCAGCCCACACAAACATCTGCTCGGAACACAGAAGAACACTGTGCTGACCCTGCCCTGAATGGAATTACACACCAGCTCACTCTCCATACTTGCCAGTCAAGGTCTGATTTTTTCATGTTCCATCATTATTTGTTTTACTATCATGTCTATCAAGTCCAACCTCTGAGTCACGCCAGGTCCTGGGGCAGAATAAACATGAGAGAAATTCCACAAGAGGCGCGAGAATGTAACACAAGAGATAACAGCACAATAGACAGGTAGGAATACCCAGGGAAGCAGCAAGGCAGCACTGAGCAGTCCCAGCTGCATGGAAGGAGATAACCAAGGACGGCTGTGATCCTTACAGGAAAGTCAAGGTTGCTTAGGAGAAGAGGCTGCTTGTGATATTCTTCCTCATATGAAAATAATGATCTTACATGCAACAAGCAGAGAACAGAGGCTGGCACGCTGCAATCTGGGAGAAGAAAGGGCTGCTCTATCAAACCACTACCCTGCACAACACCACCCTGCGTGGAGTAAATATGTCGTGTTAGGGAAAACAACGTTGGAAGGAGTGATTAATTAGACAGTGAAACATTGCAGAAGTTTTACATGTGCAGACGGCCAAGGAATTCATCTCTAAAATCTCACATAGAAATATGGAAGTCTAGACAACCCTAGGAAGGATTAGAGAGTCTTATTTCAGACGATGCCTGATTTGAATTTGCATGATAAGCAAATAAGGCTGTTTCATCTGCTGTGCCTGAGACAGTGATGAAGGAGGACTGGCAGAGGAAGATGAGAATCTCTGCTTTAATTACGTGATGCATGAGCTGATGCTTCATTTACACAGACAACATGAGATTTTAACTTCTGACAGAAAACAGAGCTAGGTAACACCAGAACTGCTGGTAAGACCATTGGTTTCATGCTCATGCAAAAATGAGGGACGTGAGATGAACGATTCTGGTCTTCCATCACCTACAGAAAACCTTAAGAGACAAACCTGACATGGTCAAGAAAGAAGTAGGAAGGTGCAGAAAAAAACCTGGTGGCAACCAGTCATAGAACCATTGGAAAACAGGTCTAAGGACATGGCTGCTTGTGGCAGAAGCAAGATGACCAAGGAAACTGCTGCTTCTTGGCTCTCATGCTGGTGAGTAAACTTCTTGTTTTTTTCTTGGCTTTGCACTCAGTTGCACATTGCAGACTGACAGGTGTAGATTCAAGAAAAGCAGACAGCATAGCCCTTCCTGCTCTGAGATAAAGTGCATTTTTTGACTTGAACATCACTACAGTCAAGCTGTGAATCACAGCCTCAAATGATTCATCAGAAACATCATCTGCAAATGGGTAATACAAGATCATCTGTCTCAAGACAGACTGGATGACCAACTCAGTTCACCAAGTTAGCAATGCATTACATGTTAATGCCCAACATTCAGCAGGTTTGCCCACAGGAAGCACACCTTCCTGTATTCCACTAGATTGTGTCCACCTCCAATTCGATAAGGGGCTGAGGCACCACAGAAGCATCCAGTAGGAAACGGGGTGCATGGCAGTAAGTTTTAAAATGCAGTGCATCCTTCTGGAGGGCTGAGGACAAGACAATCGTATCAGCATTTATATATTGCTACACAATTACAGCAGAATCTTTTGTTCGGATCGCAGAACTCAGCTGTGTCAATTGAATCGCTCTGATTGAACTAATTGAATCTCAATTGCTCAAGTCTGGTTTCGAACAGTTTTGTATGACATTCAAAAGACTGAAGAATTCATTTATAAATGGAAGCGTGTGTGGGGAGGGACAACGAATGATTTGGCTGTTACCCAAAAGCTAACAAATGTGTAATACATTTCACTGGAGAAGCATACTGAGGTTTATCTTCCTGTGAAGGCCTCCATTTCAGTGCTCCCTGGGTTAGGGTACCATGGGGAAGGAGGTAGGGATCCTCACCCCAGCACTGACTGCAGTAAAAGTGCACGTCACTTGCCCAAGTCCTGCCTCCCCCCTGTAGCTACCCTGCTTCAGCAGACTCAAAACACAGTTGAATTACAGCTTTAGAGGACACGCAGTGCATACTCCCCATAAAACTGCTTTTGCTGATTGCAGACTCCACGTGCACCATAGGAAAAATGCCAGTGTGACCACCAGAAATTCTCAAATATTTCCAGAAAAAACATATGTTTAATTAAGCTTTATTTAAATGCCAGGCTAGGTCTCATGGCTAATGTCTATCAGCAGCTTCTGTGCAAATCTGTTGATTGCTCTTTATCCTCACTGCAGGAATGGAACTGCAAGCAGCTCACAAGCCAAAATCAAAATGCTCATGAGGCCAATGGCAATGATTCCATCAACAGTACAAGCCAGGCCACCACACCTGGTACCTGTTCAGCCTCCTCCACTGCACCAATTTATTCTACTTATTCCAGTACAATACTTCCCCCTTAAAGGTATTCCTGGTGCAGATCAATATACAATAGGAGAATCCTGCCCTGGAGGTTTCTAAAAACACCCTTCTACTTCAAAATTAACTCTGCTTTGATAACTTCTGGGCTAAAGAGTTTACTTCCTTCCCTTTCACTCTCCCTTTGAACAAAGGCAACACCCACCTATTCTAACACAAGTCTTCAATCTGTTGAATTTTCATTTTCTTCCCAAATGTCTTAAGAGCAGCTGCATCTACTTCTGTAACTGGGCAAGAAAATGGCAGAAGGCACACGGAATATGCAGAGCCCAGCCTGCACCTCCAATAGGAAGTTTGTGGTCTGCTCACATTTGGATATATATATATATATAATATATATTCAGGTTTCCCACATGATGTGCAGATCACTTACCTCAATTTACTCATCGTTAAAACAGACTCAGTTCTTCCTCCTACTCTGTCCATCTCACGGGTGTTACTCAGTTATCAATCCATTGGTCACATCTCCCTCAACATTTTGAACCACTAAAAACTGCAGCACCCCGTGTTACTCAGGGAGCTGGGTAAAACAAGTTTCATATCCCATTCCCACCTGTGATTTACCCTGGAGTTTAACTGCTGAATTATTTAACTAAGCAAAAAAAAGCAGTGGGCACACGTCACACTACTCTACACATCAGCCAAAAAAACCCAAGCAAACAAAACAAAACCCAAACACACTAAAAGACACTCAAAACCTGCTCTAGCTTTTGGTCAGCCCTAAGATGCGATGCAAATGGACATGGTTACCTTTGTAGGCCCCTTCCAATCGAACCAGCCTATTTGCTAACCTCCTCTGGAGGCTGTGAATATCTAATTGTTGAGGAGAGGGAAGAGTCAGAGCTGAGGTGAACAAACCTTCTTTTGTAACATCTGAAATAGTATTTTTCATTTTCAAACTAGAACTATTTTTACTTCATAGGCTTTAAATGGAGATTATTTTAATTTTTAAAACAATCAGTTCTCACCCTGCTTATCATATTGGAAAAAGGCTCAAAGATGCCATGGGAAAAGGACTGAACCATTCTCAGGCTTGAGATTTTTGTTATTAAAACCAAAACAACCTCCACAATCTTCAAGCAAACTGAGAATCTTAGTATTTAATGGCATTTCCAAGAGCACCATGTGACTGTCGTTCTATAAATTGATAGCCACCTATGACAAAGACAATATGCAATACAGCTTTCACAAAAGGTGACTTTATTAGTGCTGAGCCCCAGGGTACACATCTATACGTGCTGGACACACAAGCCACAGAACTACACTACTTACTGTCACTCAGGTTGCAGTCAGCAGGTGCTTGGGTCGAGCACAGAGTCTCTTACTGCACAAGGAGAAACCCTGCAGTGTTATTTTAGGACTCATCTTTGTGCCTGGATTTAAGCCTGTGGAACTCGTACCATCAGTCAGCAGGGACAACAAGGAATGATTACAGCATGTTTTTGTAAATTAGCTGACAACCTTCGATACCTCAGGATGCAGGAACTTGTGATTCCCTCTTTAATTTCTTTCTTGAATCGAGCCATAAACACCGTTGCTGAAGAATGCCAAACAAACTTGAGGGAGGCAGGAGGACTAAGGAGATGGAATTGATAGAAACAAAATCAAAGACAAGGAAAAGGATGAAAAAGAGCAAGAAACCCTTTGAAGAGGATAAGGAAGGCAAAGAAATTAGAAGCACTGCGTGTGTATGTATTTATGGTTGTATTACACTTGGAACAGCCAGGAAGGAAGCTAAGTGTTCTCTCAGACAGGACAAAATGATTACTTCCACTGCACAGGTGGCATGTTAGGAGATGCTAACACGGATGTTGGGGCAATGCAGGTAAGCAGATTGCTCTGACAGTAAGTATCAGAGTCCCTGAATTCTAGGAAATTCTGCTGTCTTTGATGTGAGACTGATGTAAGACTTTGGGGAATCCACTTCAATTTCAAATGCAAATTGCATTTGTCGAGTGCTAGAGAAGTGAGTTCTGATGGTGCACATTAGTGACAGAATGTAACATTTTGTGGTTAGTATTTCAAAATCCCCCCCACTCTCCAGTGAAAGCTCATCCTCACTTGGTCCAGCCATTTACAGAGAAAGAAGCCTGGCTCCAGCAGAACATTCCTTCCCATTCTCCTTGTCCCAGCGCTTCAAGAGCTCCACGCTCCAAATTCCACTCTGGGTCAAGTCTGAAATGTGTCACTCAGCATAAATGGAAACAAACACCAAACCACAGGTCAGATGCTTCAGATATTGCAGAATGACAGTTAGAAAGTTCTATCACAGCAAGAAGTTTTAAACCTCATTTAATAGGACACCGAAACAAATGCATTTATTACAGAAATAAAACCTCACGTGCTGAAAATGTTAAAACTGAAGGTGTTCAAGTCTTTGGTTTTTCCTTGCCTGAATTTGACAGGTTTTACTCATCACCAGATTAATTCAATCCCTCTGTATCGCTACTCTTTTACTATTTTTTACAGAGAACACAAAACAAAACTCTGCCACTTCCAATTCCAGAGTTTTTCCTCAGCCTGAACACCTCAGGAAAGCCTATGATGGTTCCATGCCAATTTGAAACCCAGCAGAAACCTCTCCACTCCCATACAGCAGCCTGGAGCTGGCACTGCTGCAGCCATCGTTATCACTGCCACTCGAGCAGCAGAGCACGGGCCACAACAGGCTTTTTTAGCACTGGCACAGGGCACTGCAGCAGCTGCACTGCTAATTACACCAGTCACTGTGCCCCATGAATCACATTCCTCTTTGAGTCCCCTGCCCAAGAACTGTCCTCACTTTCATCTTCGCTACTTAAACTGTCAGACTGAAAAGCTCTCATACCCACTGGAGCAAGTTTTGCACAGTACTCTCTTTCTACCATAGATGCTTCTTATTTTGACTCTAAGAAAGAAATACTCTGTGTTGGTCTGGGATACTTGTGCTAAATTAAAACCTAATGATTCTGTGAAGCATAAAAACTACATTTCCTTTTTTCCTGCCACTAGATAGAGTAGAACTTTTCAAATGCTCCTGAAGTTTTCATAAAGCCCCAGCAGAACAGCAAGGCTCCTTTGGCTCCAATTGCACTCACAGTCCTGGTGTGCAGACCTCGTAAATACCAGCATCATGATCTTCGTGCTTTAGGTTACCCAAATGGCTGCTGTAAAAAAAACGAAACAAAAACTTTCTGTTTATTCCAAAGTACACAGCTTAGGTAAGAAAACTGGATTTTCTACTTTCAGGAGAATTCTCCAGATCTCTTGTCATCTTCAGGAACTTCCTGCAGACTCTTTGATAAACTTCAGTGTAAACTGTTTCACTTCATTTTCTACTGAAGTTACAAAATGTATTTTCTTTGAATACTTTAACTTCTTAAACTCTTTGTACCATGAATTGTCGTTTTCTCCCCACCTCTGATTCTGTTTAATCCCACCACACTACAGCTGAGTTCATCAGGTTTTGCAAAGGAGTTTTGTCACAGTTTTGCAAGAATCTGAGGCTCTTTTCCTGCTGCTGGTTAATCCACACACAGCTCTTTGCCTGCCTAGAAATATACATTCTCTATTCCTTCTCACACAGGTCTAACAAGTCACTGCATTTTGATTTTTCACAAGCCTGAGGAAAGCTGCACAGCCTGCTCATTTGACTCAGAGCCAGGCTATTCCTTCACTTCACATACACATATTTTCCCCTTCCAAATAATTCTGAAAGTCTGTCTAATGCTTTCAGTTCACAACATCGACTAATTCCTGAGGTGTTACAAGAGTTTTGAAGTTGGTCACGCACAGGACAGCTTTCAAAAGGAAGACAGCAGCCATACAAAGGCTGAATGCTTATTTACAAAATCAGTGGCACATGCACAGGAAGTGGAACCGCTGCCCTCCAGTTATTTATTGAGCCCTGCACAGGGATCTTTCTCACAGCAAGCTAAGCATCAAAGTCACCAACAAAAGCACTTATCTGTAATAATATCAGACTATCTTCCTAACAAAATGTTCAATGCTTCAGAATATAAACAAAGAACAGCTTGGTCACCTGTCAAATGCTGAAGGATACACTTAAATACTCTTAAGCACTGTCACAAGAGGAAGGACAACACGCAGTACACCTGCTGCTAAATACACCCCCAAAACTCAGCTACGCCCTCTGCGATAAGCAGGCAGTAACAACAGCTGGTTTGCCCAAGAAGGAAAAAAAACAACACATGTAGCAACCAGAGACTGGGGACAAACGGCTGCAGAAAGTGGTTTTAAAAACCAGTGCCAAAGTTATGGAAGGAGGCAGGCTGAAGGGTAAGTGTTGATCAGGCTATTGCTGCAAACAGCAAAAATGGGTGACTTTTGATTTCTTTCCTCATTTTGCTAAACATAATGGATTCCCAGGCTCTGCTGGTATGCCAGATCCTGTGCAAATAAAGGAGAGATAACACTGTACGCTGAGCAATTAGGGAACAAAACTAGTTTTGAGACATACCAGAAGTCTCTTCTCTTCTCAGTTGGGCACCTTAAAACAACTACTTCCCATTAAGCACATCACTTTACTTTTTTTTAGTTCTTTTCTCCTACTTGAAACAGGGTTTGAAGACAGAACGTTGTGACACAAACGTGCAGCACCTGCAAATGATAAGTGCAGAAATCACCACCAATCACTCATGTGCCAGGAGTTACACAGTCACAGATGTCAGCACTGAGAGATACTTTGTTTTAATATAATTCTCCCTGGAGTTAGGCAAGCTAAAAAAGGCAAATAATAGGAGACAAAAACTCTTTTGGGTCTAAGCTTCACTCTGCTCGCACCTCACTAACCACTATGAGGAGAGATTTAACTAACTGAACGAGCAACAGAAGGCACAAAATCAACACCCAAGCCTCTTACAACAGCAGTCAGCTTTGATGCCCCTGCAACCAACACCTTCAGGTCTTCATTTGCTTTTTCTATCTACAGCACTCCCATACTGAGGGTCTCAAAGCATAAATCTGCGTTGTCAAAACACACAGATTGTTTTCCAAAGCTTGTTTTTGCCCCTTTTTTCCTCAGAACTCCTGGATACCGGTGATCAATGTTGTTCTCATTTCCTGCTCGTGACCAACCTTCACTGGAAGGATGGAGAAGTGAGGGCAGGAAGAGGGACAATTCACAAACAGAATTTTCTCTTTCCAGTTTCTGTATTTACATGCACAGAAATGACTGAGGAAGATGTTACACAAAACATGAAGGAACGCATTGTACAGATGCAGCAGGGATAAGCCAGATACCAGCAGGTCCACAAAGGAGTATTATAAGACAGAAAACAATTGGCAGCTCATTTCAGCAAACGCTCAACTACTCAGTAAGTTTACAGACATGGGAAATCCTCCTGCTGCCTCTCATATAAAACTTATGCTGAAGTAAAGCTGTAGCACTTCACATTAAAAAGAGAAAAGGGGGAGAGATGTGCGCAGCAAAATAAGAATTTGGGATGAAATCACCTAATTGCAGTCACGCTAAATAGCTTTTCAATGTTAGATCAGAAAACACCTAAAAGATGATCATAAAGAAGCTTGTAAAAATGTAACTCAATAAAGCCTTAGCATCTTCCACAGTGAGTGCCTTTAGCATTCCAGATTTGGGCCAAAGATCCTGACACACAATCAGCTTCTACGTGCAAACCTGTACTTAGAATTTGTTGGTCTCATAATTAACAACAGGTGACTTTCGGCACTGAAGGAACTGGATACATATGTGAACCACATTCAAAATCAAACATGAACTGCACTGATTACTCACAACATCAACTTCTCTGTACTCAAACGTAAAAAACCAGAAGGTACAGACAAGAACAGGGTATCTTCATCTTCCAGCAGGACACTGACCACAGCTCCCCACGACCACTTCCCACCATGGTGAGCTGAGCTCAGCCCAGCACTGCTGCCCAGCTCCGTAGGGACTCTGACAAGACAGGATTCCATAGGTTTGTCAGCACACAGCATTTCCAATCAGTGACATCTACAACAGAGAGAGGCAACTGCTTCCTTCATTGAAAGGCACAATAATTCCCCCATTAAGACTTAGCATTCCCGCACCAAGACGTAACAGATTTTTTTCCTCTATTACCAAAACAGCAAACCTGCGTCTTTATGGCACAATCATATCAATTTCTAAGCTAATTAATTTTTCTCATGCCCTAAATCTAACAGTTAAACCAGTGACCGGGCATTGTTTACTTTTAAGAAAAGCTGCACTCTGCACAGTTACTCAAAATGCACGCACTGTTTCAAGAGGACACTTCAATATCTGATCCCCAGAGTATTTCCATGCATTTTTAGTTCTCCCAACTATTTTAAGTCTTCTAAAATCCTTGCAACACAAGCAGCACATGCTTGCACGGGGCAGAGAGAAAGAATCAATATTTAAACTTTCCCTTTTGGCTTTGAACTTTGAATAAATTTCTCCCTGTGTTTTGGAGGGGAGCAGTTTATAATTTTAAAGAACACATTCTTATTTTCCAAAAAAAGCAAAAGAATAATTAAAAAAAAAAACTCTAGATCCTCAGAAACTTATTTTTTCCCATGGTGATAATTGACAGCTATTGTTCCATTCAGAAAGGTCAGCACGGTGGACCAGCAGTACAGGAGCATAACAGCAAAGGGAGCAGCGCAGATGGAAAGGCGCTCACCCATCTCTGAGGATCTAGGCTCACAAGACAGACTCCGTAAGGGAGGGATCCCCAACCACAGATCCTGGCCCAGTGGCAGTCAGTCCTTAAATGAGGCCTAAGAGAGGTGCAGCCAGGCTCCACCCCTTCCTGTCTCACAGTTGAATTGCCTTCACCTGTGCTCCAAGGCTGACCAGTCCTTTCCCCAGCTGCTCAATCGGTGCTTCAGGCCAGGACTCAATGGTTATCACACACCTATAGATGCTCTACTTTTCCAAGATCTTCACCTGTGCCATTAAACCACATTCCAGACCGAGATCTCCTTGGTGAAACTTCAACCTAGGGATCACCTTTGTTCACGCCTGTAAAGAAGAATTTAAAACAGAAGTAAAATAAAATTCACCATAAGCCGGAAGTTTGAAAACCGCCAAGTTTACATCCTAAAACACTGCTTAGTAACTTTTAGCACACTGAAACCAATGTTATCAAACAGTAAATAAAACAACTCATCCATGCTGCAGAGAAAGCAGAAATCCAATGTCTCTAACAGCTAAACTATGGAGAGACTTGTACTGTAGAATCACAGAATGGCCTCGGTTGCAAAGGAGCACAGTGCTCATCCAGTTTCAACCCCCTGCTGTATGCAGGGTCACCAACCAGCAGCCCAGGCTGCCCAGAGACACATCCAGCCTGGCCTTAAATACCTCTGGGGATGGGGCATCCACAGCCTCCTTGGGCAACCTGTTCCAGTGCCTCACCACCTTCTGGATGAAAAACTTCCTCCAAATATCCAACCTAAACCTCCCCTGTCTCAGTAATGTCATAGAACTGAGCTCAGGTTGGAAGGAACCTTAAAGATCATCCATTTCCAACCCCTGGTGACCCCACCAGACCAGGCTGCCCAGGGCCCCATTCAGCACAGCCTTGGGCACTGCAGGGATGGGGCACCCACAGCTCTCTGCTCAGCATGCACCAGCCTGACCTCACCGTCATCTGAAAGAAGAATTGCTTCCCAACAACTAACTTAAGTCTCCCCTCTTTAAGTTTAAAGACATTTCTCCTTACCCTATCACTATCACGCAGTTTAAACAGTTACTCCCCCTCCTGCTTATGAGCTCCCTTCAAGCACTGCAGGGCTGCAATAAGATCTCCCTACAGCCTTCATCACAAAAACATTCACCTGCTGCAAATAAGGAGAGCTGTGGAATTAAGATTATTGCTTTTTACCTTACACTGGATCCAGCTCCATCTCTGCCAGCTCACTCAGTCCCACAGAATTCACACTGAGCTGCACCCACTGCAGCTCCTCCAAACGACACGGGTAAGATAAATACCCTACAAATGAAAATATTACGGTAACAGGCTGGCAGCAATTCTCACCTTTTGATGACAAACACTAAACCACTCTCACGGCCTTCTTAACGCCTCCTGAGCGCACAGGGAGCCCCGCCAAGGGCCTCGTGCTGCTCTTCTCTGCGTGCTGCCGGCCTCCAGCACGGCAGGGCCAGGCCGGACCCAACACAGCCATCGAACCGTGCCAGGACATTTCCGACACCTCGTTTCAGCAGCCCGCCCGGCCAAAGATACGAGAGAACGCACTTCTTATTGGCAACGCGAGCCCTCGGCCGCACGGAGCCGGGCTTCGCGCGACCCTTCCGTTCACCGCACCGTTAGCAGCTCGGCAGCGCTTTTACACAGAGGAAGCCGCCCGGCCTGGGCCCTCACAGCACCGCCACCGCCTCCTCAACCGGACATCGCCTCAGCACCGCACCGCACCGCACCGCACCGCACCGCGCCGAGCCCCCACGGCCCCCCCCCCCCACAGCGGCACCTCCTCCTCCCTCACAGGGCGCCCCCTCCCCCGCCGGCTCCGCCCCGCCCCGCGCTCTTCCCGCCCATTCCCCCCCCACCCGCCGTCGGCCCGCGCGCCATTCCCCTCAGCCGCCCCTCTGCCGCCCCGCTCCGCACCTTTCCCTCCCTCCTGGCTGCGCGCCCCTTCCCCGGGCGGCTCCGGCTGTAAGCGCCGCTCCCCGCCCCTCGGCGCCTCCCCCAGGATCCGGCAGAGCGGCGGGGGGAGAGCGGTGAGGGGGGGAGCACGGCGCGCCCCAGCCCCACCGCGGAGCCGCGCCGCTCCTTCCCCATCAGCCACCAGCACGGAATGATCCTCCGCTCCCAGCCGGGCTGTCCCCCTGGCCGGCTGTGCCGCTCCCCTATTGGCTCCCACCGCGCCTCGCTCCCTCCTATTGGCTGCAGCCAAGCAGCGAGGCGAGGCGATTGGCTGGATCGGCCGTCCATCAATCCGGAGCCCCCACCTCCGCAGTTATCAGGTTAGTGTTCGCCGCGGCGCTGGGGCTCGGGATTCCGAGCGGCGCTGGTTGAGCCCTCAAAGTCCCTCATTACCGCGCGGGCTGAGGGGGGGTCTGCGGCGGTGTCACCACACGGAGCGGAGCCGGGGACAGCGAGCGCCTCCCGCCAGCCGCGGCCATGGACATGAAGAAAAGGATCCACTTAGAGCTGCGGAACAGGACGCCCTCAGATGTAAGCAAAA